CTTAAAGGAACTTGCAGGTAGATGCTTACTTGAAAATTTGCCTAAAGACTTTACACTGTCTTTAAAGAAGCATCCAAGAGTTGTTAGCTCTCATGAAGGCGACGTGGCTGCCTAATGCTTTTATATAATACAGTCTCCCTAGCAGCAGTGACTTGAATAAGTCTTAAAGATTCTAGCAGCAGCTTCAGTTTTTAAATATCTGATTAGCTTCTTCTACTGCAGCTTCTCATTAGAGATCTGGGGAGACTTAAAAAATGAAAACTTGCAATAAATGTGGAAACTATTACCTATAGTTAACCTATTTCTGTAATCTGAAATGAGTTTCTACTTTCTACTTATCATAAAGATAATGGAAATAGATTAAAAATGCAATTACTAGTTCGTTCTTCTTATATGTGCCTGAAAATTTCCAGTCAGAAAGCCTTTTGCTTTGCTGCTCATTTTCTTAACATCTGGTACAGAAATGCAAATCTTCCATCACTCATCAATTCCACTTATAGAAATTTACCTTTTACTCATATCATAGCTATTATTGTAGCATCTCTAACAAGAGAAAACTGGAAGCAATATAAAGGTCTGTCAGGAGAGATTAGTTAAATAAATTAGTTCATTATATACTAAATATTATGTTTGGTAGGTATTGATATAATCCTGTATGCATTAAAGAAACCTGATATATTAGTAAATTGAAAAGGCATGTTATTACCGAACATTGTATATAGTTTGATCCCATTTATTAAAAATAATAGAAACACTCACATATATACTTAAATGTGCATAGAAAATACATTGTTAATGGTGGTTATTCTGGGGACTAGAATTGAGGGTACAAGCAATAGGGTGTTTTTCACTTCTCGTTTTATACCTTATTTGGTATTTTTGTCCCAAGGGACATACTGTTTTCAAAATTCAAAAAGAAAAAGAAACATAAGTTCTCCGTTTCTTTATAAACATCATTCCCTTCCCCGTATCCCTGCCCTCCAGTAGTCCCCTCTTTCAGTGACTCCAGGCATAGCCATGCGATTTGCTTTGCCCAATGGGACGGTACAAACTGGATGCGAAAACCTGGAAAGAAAAATGCACATTTGAGCTGTCCTCTCTTTTGCCACTCTTGGGATCCTTGCAACCAGCCTCATGTAAACAGACCCAAGCTAGCCTGTTGGATGATGGAAACACTGACCCAGCACTCCAGCCATCACCAGACAGGCACTGCAGGACATTTGAGGGTGGCCATCCACAACGAGCTGCCTGCAGTTGCATGAGAGAGGTCTGGCTGAGACGTGTGCTACAGTTTTATTAGCGTATAATTGCAAATCTTCCGTCTCAAAATTGCCTTTGTTTCTCTTAACTATCTCATTTCTCTCTCTCTGATGATCTCTCTTTCGCCTATTCACGTCTCTTTTTGCAGCTTTCCCGGACTGTGTAAGCCCCAGTGTATCTCTTTTCTATACTCTTCTATTACTTTTACTCAGTACCATATAGGTTATACTTTTGTGCTATTTTTTTCCTCTTATTTTTTCTGTATATATGTTAGTCTTTTCTATTTAACTAAACAATAAGCTTCTTTATTGTACAGATCATATTTCATACTACTTTCTCTGGCCTCCATAATACTTAGCACTTGATAGAATTATATATAGTAACCAGGTTTTCTTTCATCCCGTGTCTTCACAATATGCCTTGCCTAACTGCAGGGCACGTGCCATCCATAGCATGATACCCCACTGGGGCAAGAGAAAAGCTACACAAATATAAGCTGCATTTGTTTCTGCTCTGTAGCTATCTCATTTCCATGATATTATGTTTCCTTCACTAAGTAAATAAAAGTTATATAGCAGGTTTGTATGTGTGCGTGTATGGTCTCTTTCTGTCAATCTCGAACATGTACGTGTATTATACATAGGGTGGCACATGCATTAACGTGAGAAAATCTTAATGATATAATAAGTGAAAAAAAATTTACATTATAAAACAAGACAAATACCGTGCCCACATACACAAATGCTGTGCATATATAAAATCTGGAAGGATATACATCCCTTTTCCCAAAACCAAATCACATAAAATACTGCCTCAAATTTCTGTAAATTTGTAGCATTTACCAAGATAACCAGCTTATTATGTAAGGTGAATAAATGATTTCTTTTATACTTGAAAGTTGGACTTAGTTGAAATGAGAGAATTTATATTTTAAAAGTCTTTCCTTTTACTACCAAACATTTGTTTTCTCTATTTTAAGTAGTTTGGTAGACATTTGGGTTATAGGGATCATTCTGAAATACAGCCTGCATTTCTTTTCTTAATTGAAAAAAGTACTCATGGTGATTGTAGGGGCACTGATTTAGACGAAGTGGTATTAGCACAGAAGTAGACAATTGAACTGATGGCAAAGAGTAGGGAGCCCCAAAACAAAACACTGTCATTTACCTGGCCAACCCCACATGGAAGGGATTGACCCTAAATTTATAATCTGTGAAGCTGGTGTTACATGGGAGTTCATTTTACTCTTCTCCAGTTTTGTATGCTTAAAACATTCCACCATAAGAAAACATTTTAAAGACATAACTTTAAAAATAGATGTGTTGATCTTTATTTTTATACACCACATTTTCAAAATTAAATGTATCGAATTATTATTATTTCATCATGCTTTTCCTGAGGAGTAATAAGTAAGTGTGTTGCTTATTTCCTAAAAATTTCCTAAACTTCCTGAGGAGTTTAATAAATGTGTTGCTTATTTCCTAAAAATAAATAAATAAAAAGATACCTTTCACAAAAGCAATAAAAATATGAGACCTTGCGATAATGTGAACCAAGGAATATTAGACCTTTATGGAAAAAGTTATAAAATTTATTTAGCGACACAGTGCTTTCAACATAAATGGAATGAGATACTATTGACATGAAAAATTATTTTTTGAAATGTTAACTCACCAAATGGATCTTCGGGTTCGTTCAGTCCTCATTAGAACTCTGCTATTGGGATTTTATTTTTAGAACTTTCATAAGCTATTTTAAAATTCATAGGCAAGTACAAGGAGCCAAGAATAGCCAAGGCACTCCTGAAAAAGAAGAAATATGCCAGACTGATAAAGCTATAGCAATTAACAGGATGTTAATGAGGAAACTGACAAACCAATCAATGGAAGAAAACCAAGAGCTGAGACACAAACATAAGGGAAAATTGATGGCTGCAATTCCAATTCTACTATATTATCCAGAAGAATATGTGTGTGTGTGTGTGTGTGTGTGTGTGTGTGTGTACACACATACATATATATATAAAATATGTATTATAATATATATATATTTAAATCGTTCACTTAGAATTTGTTACTCATATGTGAAACTCAATTTTGGTTACATTAAAGAGTTAAATTTGAAAGCCAATACTTTAAATCTTTTAAAAGATTATTATCGTATAAGATGAATTTCTTTAAAAAGAAAAAACACTAAACATAAAAATGAAAGACAAGTCACAGACTGGAATAAGAAGTGTACCACACTAATCAATGAACGATTATTGTCCCTTTGTAAAACAAATGACATTGGCATTATAACTCTCACAAGATTTAGTTGACTCTGTTTGGTTGTCAGGTTAAGCTTCCATGTACCAATAGCCATATCCACGATTTTTGAGACATGCCTCTTTCTCTCTTTTAAACTTTATTATGGATATCTTAAACTTATCAGAATTTTACGAGACAGCCAAATTCTTAGATTCTTTTCTGTGATGTTTTGTTCTCCCGAAAGAATGTATTTGGGACCTGTCTCCTATATATATTCAGTCTTTCATGAAGGGATTTTGTTCTGAGGATGAGAGTCAGTCTTAAGTGGTATTTATAGCTAGCATTTCTCAATTTTTTTTTTTACACTTATACATTAGAAACTGTTATATCTTTCAGTCCTGAAAGTTCTGGAATTTGTGGATTTTCTCTTCTCCTTTTCCACCCTGCTTGCAGCTAGTTCTTTTCTGAGTTCATTTCTTTCTCATATTTTGTCGAGTACAGCTAACAGCATCCAAGGCTAGTAGCATACTTTCTCCTGGCTTCTTTGTCTAAATTCACAAGTTCATTGGTCATAGTATCTACTTTCCAAGTTATTGCCGGCAGATGCAGTTCTTCATTTTTGTAGTCTTCAGTAACAGTTAATTGCCGCTCAATCCCAGCACCAGTCTCACATATGTGATGTGTTTGTTATGGCAGTAACCTACTCCTGGTACCAGTTTCTGTCCTGATTTTTTCTAAATGAGGCTGCAGTAACCACTCCAAAATTTTAGTGCCTTACTACAATAGAAATTTACTTCTAGCTCCCATGTTCGATACAAGTCATCTGCAGTTCTGAGGCTCCATTAGATGTGTTTTACGCTGTGCTCCAGGCTGAGGAGCAGCCCTGTCTTGGTCTTAGGTCAGAGGGAAAGTGAAAACACTGACCCACGTAATATTTTTAAAAATCTTCTCAGACCTGGTGTAGATAATTTACAATTGTATATCATTTGCCAAGGCAGGTTCTGTGGCCAGTCCCAGTGTTGGGACGGTAGGGGAGTATTTGTCTCTGAGGGATGTATCATAGTTATCAGGCTCAAGGACAGGGATGTCTAATTTCACCTATAGGGAGGGGATAGAGTCCTTGCGAACAATACCTCTTGCACGTTTACTTCCAGATTCCCTAGAGCAGTGTTTTCCAAGTGCTGAATTCTCAGCCGAAGATAAACGTTTAGAAGTTATGAGTATATAAGTGAGAATGAATAAGATCACCTGGGAAGATGAAAGAGGATGCTAAATACCACGAGAGAGGTCTCTACAAAGGAGACCAAGGATGAGCTGTCAGAGGTAGTAGGGGAAGCATAGGAGAGAGAGTGCCCCCCACATTATAACTTTTTCAAAAAAGAAACCCTGAATGCAGATGTTTTAAATTTATCCAGCTCGTACCATCACAAGACTTAGTTTTCGAATAGCGTAAGAGATTTAAAATTAATATATGTGTATTTGTTCTTGCAGGGATTTGCCACAATATGGGCAGAAGCAGTGGCAGTCCTATTTTGGAAGAACTTTTGATGTTTACACCAAACTCTGGAAGTTCCAGCAGCAGCATCGGTAAAGGAATTCTTTAATTAAGGGAGAGCAACGGTCCGTTTTACGTTAGTCAGTTTTGGCCTTTATTACTTTTTATTTCTTGGTGCATGCTAATAAATTTTATCTTCATGACCCAAATGAAAACAAATTGATTTTTTCTTATTTATTTAAGGCTTTAAAATGTAATGTTCTTATCTGATTTTTAAAGACAATGTTATATCTGAAATGGTTCTGATTAATTCTAATATAGATTGGCTGATTCATGGTTTCAGTTCTGAAGTCAGTATTGTTTATTGGCCAAGGCTATTTGGAAGGGGGTGGGAGTTGCTTTTAATTTTCATGAACATAACTCAAAGTTTCTTTTTATATTTTAACTTACTTTAAATAGACACTTAATAAATGCTTTTTGAATTTAATTGAATGAGTCTTTTGAAATTTCATGAAAAATTCATGAATTTGAATTCATGAATTTAAAATTTCATGCTGAATTGGGTGGTATTTTATCCTATTAAATTTACTGATTTGGTTATTTTTGAAATTTATAGTCTCTTATTTCTATTTTCTTATTTCCTATGTAAAACAGACAAGTCTTGGATAATCGGTATGGCTTGAAGCGGTGGCAAATAGGGGAAATTGCTTCTAAGATTGGGCAGCTATACTACCATTATTAGTAAGTGAATTGCATATGGGAAAAATAAAGCATTGTCCTGATTTAAACATAGCATGCAAAAGTATGCATAATATACTTCCGTGGTAGGTGGGAAAACTGAGAAGTTACAAATGAAACCCTAACAGTTCAGATCATATTGATCAAGACAGCATTAGGACCTTTCATAATGAAAGCAACATTATTTGCTTCAAAAGTTCACCGTCCAAGAGTTCATTTGGTCAGATTTATTTATAACTTATATGAGTATGATCTTGGTTTTAGAGAAATGAATTTATAGTTCTTAATGGCTTTCCATAAATTTCGATACTATACGGAGACAAATCATAACTTATGTGCTTGAAAGAATGGTTTTCAGAAGGATACTTTAAAACTCATACTTGTAGGATATGTCTAAAAAGTTACTTGAAGTAGATAAGGATACTTCTGGTTGTATCTTTAGAGCAGTAACATCTATATAGTCCCACCTTGAGTCAAGAAGAGAACTTTTAGAAATCTAAATCTCATTATCATGAAGTAATATCAGGTATACCGGTAAAAAGGCTCGGACCAATTGTAATTTAATAAGCTGGAAGATTCCTTCCTCTTCCTGTCTTTTGGCATGCCACCCCAAATTCCCACCATTAAAAGCACCCTCTTGGGTAGAATATTTTCCTAAGAAGTCCCTCGCAAAACTAGAAATGTTAAACAACCTAATTCATCAGCATCCTCGGAAGATTAATACGGGCTAGTCCCATTTCGGAGTCCTGTGAGATAAAAAATCTAAGGAAACGAACCAAAAGATAAGTGACCGTGTATGCACTTGTCCTGTGTAGACAGATTTAACCGAGTGGAAAACTATGGAGAGTCTCTTTTAAGAAAGAGAATAATGTGTACTTGGGATTGCCATCCAGAAAGGCTTGGGAGCAGTGGGGAGGTATTTTTTTAATTATCATTATTATTATTTTTACACATTTTAAGAGTGATTATGAATATTGCCTTGCTGATTCAAATTTAGGACAGCCATTCTCTTCCTCTCATGTGGAGGAATAGAGGAATAATGAAACAAGTATTTATCATGGTAAAGAGTTTGAAATACTTTCACATTTAAAGATATTTTTTCTTACAGCCTACGCACATCTGAGACCAGCTATCTGAATGAGGCTTTCTCCTTCTATTCTGCAATCAGACAGAGATCGTATTATTCTCAAGTCAATAAAGAGGACAGGTATGCACCTATGTTTTCAAAGAGAGGGAGATCAAACACTAAAAACTTTTAGTTTGTGTGAAAATTATGCAGAACAGCACACATCTGTTGATAACTTTTATTCATTTCATGGACTTTATGCAGTGCCTGCTATGTACCAGGCCTTCTTAAGCATGCCGAGGTATGTTCCCTAATAGTAATAAATGTTATAGATGTTGTAACAGGTGGCACAATACCAGGGTACAGTCAGAGCACAAAAGAGGGATGGATGATGTCTGTATGAGAGATTGGGGTCGCACACAGTTTCACTGAAAAGAAAACTCCAGTGACGTTTAGCTGATAACCTTGGTTCTTTTTAGCCTGTGTGTTCTTATTTCATATACATTCAGAATCCTGTTGACAGCTGTTGTGTAGGAATGAAGAAAAGGTGCTAATACTGTTTGATTTTTCTTTATAAACCCAATACTGTTGTGCCATGGTATAGTTCCACCGTTAGGGAAAAAAACCCTGTAGAATTTATTCATTATCAATATAACCTATCGAGTACTTACAATATATCTGGCAGTGTGGTAGATGCTTGGAGTAGAGAAGAAAAAGAAAAGAAAGTGTACAGGTTTGCTCTTTTCCATTATTATCTTCTCACGGGAGTCACAGCCATATTTGGGGTACAGGTAGATGGTGATGTTATCAGTTCCAGATGAGACAAGAATTGTAGGAGCAGCCAGGACGCTGCTGGAGAATCTTTCCTGTGCTGCCTCCAGCATTCCAAGAATCGTTGGAAGAGAACGTTCAGGCCTAGAAGATTGGAATGTTCTCTCTAGCCCCAGAAACACAACTCACAGTTGTTATGTCGTGAAAAGTTTATATCCTCTTAGCGATAGAAGGAAACATAGTTTTGGCTTGTTTTTCTGGAGAACACTTTGTGGTTGGCTGTCAGAAGCTTTCCAGCTAACGGGAACATTTTTTGGAAAGGCTCGCTCTTGTCAGTCCCCTTCACACGCTAGCAAATCTTGTTCAGACTTGTCTAGAGGCGTTAGCTTGATGCAGTGAGTTATGTAGATGCTGAATTATTTTCCCCCAGTCTTTTTGCCATCACCTTACTTCATTCTTCTATTAGAAGGAGCATCAATTACTATTCATTCAGCTCTTCTTATGATTTGCTTGCGATGTATTCACTACAGGTATGTTTCCTTCAACTCTACCCGCCACCACCACCCCTTTTTTTTTTGGCATTCGTGTTGTACTATATGTCTGAATTCTTGGTGAGATAAATTGTGTATCTAAAACCATGCAAAAGGGCTAAGGCTATGTGACATTTTATCAGTATGAAAAGTAAATATAATACGAAGAACTATTTTAAGCGATCATAAAATACTTGTATAATTCACTTTTCTAATTTGCCAAAAGGAAAATTGGCCTTAGGCCCTTTGGCTTAAAACCCAACAATCAGATTTGTGAAATTTTCTATCCTAATAGCAAATACCAAATACGAATTGTTTTCCTGTGCTGCCTCCTAGAGCAGGGCCAGGGCAGAGGTAGGCTTATTTGGGATCAAGACGACAAAATCTTTTGCCCTAAAGACACTAAATTAGAATCCAAGGACCATCCAGTGTGCAAAATCTTCACCTTGTTCTCTGGAAGGACTTTGTTCAGTTGGTAGGTTGTTCGCTTCTTAGTTCACATAGGGCAAGGGGGCCAGTCAAGGTAGCAGTTGGCCACGACTCCTAAAATCAACAGCCAGGAGATGAAAACTAAGTAAGAAAGTGTTCCAGTATTTCACAGTTGCTTTAAAAGGCAAAAATCTCTCTTCAAAGGGGCAAGTTCTCTCTGCACTGTCTCAGTGCCTAAGGATTGTGTCAAAGCCAGGAGGAATGGTACATTCCAGCCATTACCAAGGTGACTGTCATTAAGCATAGACAGCTCTCCGAATGTTTCATCCCACGGGCCCGTCCAGTTTAACAGAGGAGATGTCACCACATAATCACTTGTCCTAGGACCTGCAAACCTTAGCTGTTGTAAATGGCTGAGGCTGACGCTGGTCAGTTAGATGTGCAGAAGGTGAAGTTTCTGGGCACACAGAGGATGCGGGGAAATGCTGCGTTAGCCCCCTGGGAAAACAGTTTCTCAGGCAAACGTGTAGAGTCAGTGCCTTCTGAGCAGTGGCCCTGGCAGGATGGTCAAGGCTGCAGTCCAAGCGCCAGAAGAACTTTGTCAAGGGAGTCATGATGCCTGCTCTAGCGTCGACAGCACTGAAGTTTTGTTATAGTGGGAAACGGGCGTCTAAAGTCGAAGATTCACGTGGGTACTTCCTAGTAGTGGCATTTATGTGGAGGATTTGACCTGAACTTTTCCCGTGAGGCTCACAGGAGGGCCTTTCCTTCTGCAGTTTGATGTGGAGTCAGGCATAGGTTGTGGGCTGTGGGTTTGGGGTTTCAGGCTGGACTGGGGCAGCCTCTTGTGGGCGAGGAGGGAGCCCTGACTTACTATTTCTGTGCTTTGCTGCATTCCAATACAGTGGTTTCCAAAACAACGCATCCACCACTTCTGTATGTTTATTTAATACAGGGTTTGGCAAATTACGGCCGATTTTTGTGCTGCATGGTAGCTTAGAACCGTTTTTATAGTTTTAAAGGGTTATGAAAAAAGAAAAGATAAATATGCTACAGACACTGTAAGTGGCCTGCAGAGCTAAAAATGTTTACTGTCTGGCCATGTAAAGAGAGTTTGCCAATCTCTGGTTCAACATATGTTTGTATAATCTACACATAGTTGTATAATCTATGATATAGAGTCATAGAACCTATTTTATTTTTTATGAAAAATTAAAGAATTGTCTTGTTGATATTTCAGGTGTGAATGGACATCCTCCAAATTTTCTTTCTATTTTGAATTCCACTTCTGACAATGTGGTAGGATAGGTAATCTAAAATACTACCTCCAAAATACCTAGAAATTCTGGATAAGATAGATCAACCATCCCTTTCAATGGACAGGTTAGCCGTCAAGAAACTAAGAAGAATTTCCAATTCGTTAGCCTGATGACCAGTGCTGTGACAGACCACCTTTCGAGGGCTGGTTGTTTTAGTGATGTAAAAGAGCTAATAAGGATTCCTTCAGAAAGAGGAAAGTGGAAACTAGAAGGAAGGGGTGATAAACAAGGATTGGTGAGAAAAAATTACCCCTTTGTTTCCTAAAAAGGCACAGACTTCGTAAGATAATAATCATTGTAATAATGGCTAATTGAGGCTATTAAGATAAAATGGTGCCAAATCCTAAATAACTATAACATGAAAGAAGAAAAAGCTCTAAACCCTACTAATAATATTCATTTATTGTTCAGAAGAAGCTTAGAGTAAGTAGTTTGCTTATTAAAATATTAAGAAAAATATTTTAAAAGAACACGAGACTGTGTAACTTCAACACAGGTAGAAGGTGAGGAAACTGAATAATAAAAGTATCATTATCACAATAAAAGGTGGAAAAATAATATATGCTAAAAAAAGTATAATTAGCACAAAATAATAAAGTAGAAACAAGTCCAAGTGCATTGGTAGTCATAGTATATGAAAGTGATATATAAACTTCCTAGGTAAAAGTCAGAGATTATCAGTATGCCTTTTCTTAAAAAAATCCAGTTTTTCTTAAATCCAGCAAAATACACTGTTTATAGGAGACCCTCCAGAGATAAAATGTACACAGAAAAAGAGAAATGAGACAGATACTAAGAGGAAGAAATTCTGCAATGTTTATGTGTACATTTATATTTAAGGGAGAAAGTTATTACTAGGGATAGAGGTTTACTTCATAATGATAAAAGGAACAACTCCAGAAAACATAAAATTTCTAAACTTGTGAATACTCAATTATGTAGCATTATAGTAAAGCAAAAAGTAGCATATTTTCATGGAGAAATTGATAAGTTATCTAATATACATGGAAATTTTTAATACACCATGTTTAACAAATTATATGTCAAGAAGATGAAAAATTATAAGATGATTTGAATAACATAATTAAAAATTTGTTCCAGTGTGCATAAAGCTCCACACAGCAATAAGCGAATGCACATTATTTTCACACTTACATGAAAATTTGTGAAATTTATGTGAAATTGACTTATACTTGCCACAAAACAGATTTCATTATTTCAAGTATATGTTATCTAACTGTGGTGCCATTCCATTAAAAATTAAGAATGTAACAAAATCAACAAATTTGTCAGTTAGTAGACACATTTCTAAATAACTCATGATTAAAGAAGAATTTTTTAAAATTTATTATGAAGAGTGTCAAACATATACAAACAATACTGCTCTAAGGTTATTATATTTGTAATGTAGGATGCGGAAAGCAGGAAGTGGAAATTGGAAGTGTCAGGTTTGAATTGATAAGGGATAAGTATAAAGGTCAGGTATGAAAAGGTGCAATATCGATTGTAAATAGCCTTTAATAAGTATCGCGAACTGCCACTCCTCGCGATACTAATAGAAGCCAAAACGTTATAAAATGGTACACTAAAATACATTAGATTAACTGAAAAGAAAGCAAAAAAGGAGCAATAGAGGAACACAAACACAGAATAGGAAAATGGAAAACATAGCAAAGTGGGCACAGACCCAGCCAAAGCACCTATGAGATTAGATGTAAATGGTTGGGGACCTGAGTGTATGAGGTAGAGATGATCAAAGTGGATAAAAAAAAGCAAGATGTAAAAAAAACGGTGAGACCTAACCATATGCTGTCTACAAAAGATATGTTAAAAAGACACAGGTACTTGATAGTAGAGAGATAGAAAAAGATAAGGCATAAAAATAAACACTAAGCATAAGAAAACTGGCTGTATTATATTAATATCAGAACAATAAGATTTCAAAAACAATGTTCTTCCTGGAACTCTTTTCACCTTGTCTTTTTCTGCCTGTTGTCTCCTACTTTTTCTTACAGTCTTAAATGTTGCTCTCACTAGGAAGCCTTCTCTCACTCAACAGCTAGTGTCTGATAGCATCTTTAGTCTCTCCTATCAATATATTTATTCCACTGGGTTTTAAGTATTTATCTGTCTCCTCTACATTTGAAATACTTTGTAAGATCTGTGAACGAGAGACTGTGTCTATCATTTTTTTTAAATCACTCTACTTCTAGCATCTAACATAGTGCCCGATACATCTAAGTTTTCAATAGATATTTGTTGAATGAATGAATTAAGGATGAACAATGTAATGAATCAGTAAGAAATGTGTTAAAAGACTATAGGTTATATGCAGAAATGTTTATAACTGCAGAATAGGATCAAACAAGTATAAAAGGTATAGGAAAGTTAGAAAAATCAAAAAGAATGTTTTCTTTTGTAATCTAATGAATATTTTCCCATTTATCTACTATAGGCCTGAGTTGGTGGTTAAGAAGCTACGATACTATGCAAGATTTATAGTCGTCTGTCTTCTTCTCAACAAAATGGACGTCGTAAAGGATCTGGTGAAGGTAAATGTACTTTAAAATAATTTAAATCCTAACCTCTAATTGTATATGGCTAATGTTTTTTAACAATAGATTTAAGGTTAAAATAATTTGAGGTATATCTAAATCACTACAACATTCAAAGTATGGTAGCCTCCAACAAGGGTAATGATAAAAAAAATTTTCCATCTCTTCTTATTGCAAGCACACACTAATCAGAGATAACTTTCTTGATTCTGTGCTTGTGTCCCTTCAGCGTGTTCTGCATTTCACCGCTCATCAATGGACGGTTAGGAAATGCAAACAAAAATTAACATATTTAGTTTAAGAGAAAATAATTGAAACGTTAGGTCAAGAAAAAGTGTACAATGTGTTACAAAGGGATTGTGAATGTGTTTTGGTTTTTTCATCCATTTAGTATGTCAGCATCACTCTGTCCTTCATTAACTCTGGTAATTAAGAGTTAACAGCATTCGAGTTCCACTTAATATCTGTACAGATTTCATTAATATCTGTGCTGATTTTAGAATGTACTCCATTCCGGCTGCACCCTGTACTCAGTTCATGGTTTCAGTGGCACACTTCTTAATTTTGGTTCTCAAATATACTACTTTTGATAAGTCCTCTTCTGTCTTCCTCCACTCCCACTTACTATTGAGACTGTTCCCCCTTCCAAAAAAGAAGTATGATGTAAATCCAAAGAAAATTAACTAGACCGTATTCATTTTTTTAATGTTAAAAATTTGAGGTTTTACCATCAAGAGTTTTCTGTTCATAAATTCATTGCCAGAAGAGATGACATACTGCCATTTTGACAACATGGATGGACCTCGAGATCATCATGCTAAGTGAAATAAGCCAGACAGAAAAAAGTTGAAAAATCACATGATTTCACTTATATGTGGGATATAAACCTAAAAGCAACAAATGAACAGGACAAACAGAGACTCATGGATATGGACTATAGATTGTAGTTACCTGGTAGCGGGAGGGGATAGATAGCATAAAAGGGGTCAAATAATTGGTGACAGAAAGAAATCTAACTATGGGAGGTGAACACACAGTGTAAATATATATATATATATATGCCTTACTGTTAAAATGTACAGCTGAAACTTACCAGATTTCGTTAACCAATGTCACCATAAAAAATTAATTAATTTTAAAAAATAAAAAATAAATAGATTCATTGTCAATGTGGCACTGAGTAGGTATGGGTCGCCCTGGGTCTGTGAAGATCTTACTGATATGTATTATTCTGGAGTTTTTGATTTTGAAATAAATCCATGTCGTTTTCATTCTTCGTTTTTGGTTGTAATCAGGACTGTATATTGATAATAAAGTTCTTAACTATGTGGTACAATATAGCCATCTGTTTTTTTTTCCCTATAATCATTTTCTTTGTGATACCTTAAAATCAGGAATTGTCTGATGAAATTGAAGATTATACTCACCGCTTTAATACTGAAGATCAAGTGGAATGGAACCTGGTGCTTCAAGAAGTGGCCGCTTTCATCGAGGTCAGTGCCTGACAAGGAAGGTTGTCATAAATAAGTATGGATAGACACATGTCCGTGTGATAGATATTTTTACTGTGTTTAGATGTCAAGAAGGAGGAATAACTTACTATACTGACATTTCGTCTGGGCCATCAACTACTTACTGCTTTTCTTCTGTAGGCGGACCCCGTCATGGTACTGAATGATGACAACACCATTGTCATCACATCTAATCGCCTTGCCGAAACAGGAGCTCCACTGCTGGAACAGGGCATGATTGTGGGGCAGTTGTCCCTGGCCGACGCACTCATTATTGGTAATTGTAACAACCAGGTAAAGAATCGTGCAGGCATTATGCTTAAAATCCACTTTGAAAAATAGTGCTTTTGATTATTACAGAACTATTATTTCCTTGTAAATAGCCTAACATCCATCCATGAGGAAATGGTTAATTAAACTCTGCCGTGTCTATATATGGACTATGTTACAGACATTTAAATAGTTTAGAAAGAATTTTTAATCACAGAGGAAGATACTCATGGTACTTGAAAATAAACTTGTTATGGAACTATGAAACAGAATTATATATGTTAAAGTGTCTATATACATATATGCACAGGAAAAAGACTAGGAATAAATTCACCAATATCATAAAAGGTTTATCTCTGAATAGCAGAATTGTAGGTGACTTTAATTTTCTTTTTACAACTTTCTAAATCTGTATATTACATCTATAATCAGGCAAAAAGGAGAGGAGGGATTATGTTTAAGTACATTTGTCAAAAGCAAATTTCAAATATTTTTTCATAAGAGAGTAGTCCCATGATGATGATTTAATGTACTAGAAATGGAACTTACTAGAAATTATGGGATATTGGAAGAGTCACCAGTGAATACATTTTTCTGTATACATTATTTGTACAAGTTCCCTTAACGCCTATTATTTCTGTAATTGTTAACTCTTCTAGTACTGCTCCAATTTTGGCTCTTACAAACATTAATTTGCAAATTTCTGAATTAAAACATCTTAAATAAAACATTGCTAACCTGAAGTTTTATAGAAGTGCGATTCAAAATTGAAAAAGATACAGTCTTAATCACCGTATAGTGCCAAAGTATAATGAGGTTGTAAAATATGGGCCATGGCCACATACATCAATCAGCTTGACTGTTTGCCAAAAGTTAACACGTTTTATAGGACCTGATACAGGTCTCTGTGTTTTCATGACTACTTTTACTTGTTTTTAAAAACACCTGAGGAAATTGATGGGTTGATAGAAGTGTGAAGAGATAGATGTGTGATAAAGCAAATACAGAAAAACATTAATGTTACAGGATCTAGATGTCTATATAATTCTTTCAGTGTTCTGTCTTGAAATCTCTCATAATAAAATGCTGGAAAATAAAAACTAAAGAAATAAAAATAAAGTAAAACACTGGACAATAAAATATCCAATGTCGTTAAGTACACATCAAGGTCAAGAGTAATAATAAGATTAAAGACGTCTGGGTCTGCGTACTGCGTTAATAGTCAGGTTTGTTTTCCTTGCAGGTTAAGTTCAGTGAGCTAACCGTGGACATGTTCCGGATGTTACAAGCCCTGGAAAGGGAGCCAATGAATTTAGCCTCCCAGATGAACAAGCCAGGAATGCAGGTATCATCTTCCGACACTTGCAGTTTTGGTAACACTTTTGCTGCTTCTGCTCCATGTGGAATGCTATTATTCAATGCTGTTATTCAACAAATGCTGAGTGCAAATAATGAACTGTCTTGACGAGACACAGGAGAAGTAAATAAGCACGATAATAGTAACATTGAGGAAAAAAAGATATTTGATAGAGAGGGTTGTAAAAGTTGGCATTGATGATTCACCTGTCAAATACAGCCTGCATGTGTATTGTTTTCTGTGTGTAAATACAGGAATCAGCTGACAAGCCGACCAGGCGGGAAAACCCCCACAAATATCTGCTCTACAAACCCACCTTCAGCCAACTATACACATTCTTAGCAGCATCTTTTAAGGTATATTATGATCCAATACTTTTTACTTTATGGGGAAAGTGCGCCCTAAGTGGAATCTAAGAGTCACTCTTCTCTTTAAATATTTGAGTCAAGAATTTAGGTCACATGCGAAATTAAAACTGCTTTCCAAATATCCTAATCAGAGCTATTTTCAGAATGGAAATTGCTTATGATGCTATGAATCTTCCTTCCCATTAGTTAATGAGACTGTTGCTTAATTCCTTCCCTCAGGTTTTTATTGCTAAACTGCTGTAGGAATAAGAGTCAATGCAGAACAAAAGAAAAAAAGGAGCAGGTTGCGTAGGCCTGTTATATATTCAGGCAGCTCAGGGAAACATTTTGGTCATTGAAAGAGCTTGAAAAGTAACGAATTCCTTGCAAGGTTTATATAGAGAAAGGCACAGTTGGGAGTTTGTCTTTTAGACCTATAATCAGGATCTTTACATCTCTCTATTTCAAGTTTTTCAGAGAACATACTCCAAATGATGTGGTTTTTAAAGCAGAGAATATCTTAAAAACTTTTGGCAATAGTTACAGATCATAGATTAATAATGAATCTTTGCTGCGTCGATAGTTAAAAGTTGGAACCAGCAAGAGTGACTCTTCCCATAGAGAAAACAGTAATATGTTAAATTAGGTTTTTGTTTTCCCCACAACTTCAGAATGTCATGAGTTTTAAATAAAACTGTTTTCCCTGTTTGTTGTTTTGTATATGTGATTTTTTTCAATTTCAGGAGCTGCCTGCCAATAGCGTGCTTCTGATTTACCTGTCAGCCACTGGCGTTTTCCCCACAGGTCGTTCTGATAGTGAAGGTACAATAAAGGAATGCTCCTTGTTGTAAGCAGGGCTTGAATTCTCTTTATTTTCTACAAGACGATGGCCCACAGCCCTCAGACCATCTCAAGCTTTTTAGAGAGGCTTCCAAATTTGAAACCTGATCTATTTGTTGAATTGGCAGTCCTATAGATACCCCAGTCTATTGTATTTGCTGAAATTTATACATTGAAGCCCACAAATCATCAGCAAATTCACGTACTAACTCAATCTCAGATTTGCCAAAATCACACACACACACACACACACACATACATATACATATATACATATATATACATATATATATATCTTAAAAACTTTTGGCAATAGTTATAGATCATAGATTAATATATATATGTATATATATGTATATATGGAATAACGAAGCCTAATGATCTACTTAACATCATTGAATTTTTCTAAGCCTTTAGTGCATTAGCAAATCCGGTCAGGGTTTTGTGGTGGCTGAAAGTCTTTGTAGAAATCAGTACACTTTTGTAACTGTGAAAGTTCAAGTCCTTGTCATGGGTATTTTCTGTCCTTTCTTTGGTTTTTATGGATTCAACCTGTAGAATATTGGGATGCTGTTTCAGAATAAAAACTTAAAACTGTCCAGAATATATGAAATTGGTCCCAATAGGTGAGTAACTGGGATATAAATTAGGCAATTAAATCTTTGTCTGGACCAAAAAAAAAAAATTTCTTAACATCCTTAACATTTTCCTCCTCATCTGTTTGTTGAAATTTGCATTCCTTTATACAATGCATGTCCCTGCCATCTTCCTTGCATGACCTGCAGATCTTCTTTAAGTGTTAAAATCAAAATAAAACAAAACAAAATGAATCTCGAAGTCTTTTCATTGCAGTGATTTTTTAAGTGATAAAATATAACACAACATTAAAAGTGATGTGAAATCAAACTACTTCAATTTTTTTGTAGTAAAGTTAATAATTTTATTTACAAATACCATATGGACCTCTTGTTTTACTTTTTTCAAAGTACAGTAGTACTGCAATAGGTATTAACTGAATTGTCCTTTCAGAGATTATTTCTAACATGTTACAGTTGCTGCTCCATTTAGACAAGAATTTAACTGATATGACCAGTGGGAAAAGGCTAACTTCCAAACTGGAACTACAGTAATTGATATAACAGTGATCATAATGGATTTTTTTACACACTGAAATTTGGCAATTTTTTTCTTAAAAATAAAGTTTTTGTCAGTGAGAATTTTCAAGTTTCATTCCAGATTTTTCCTAAATTTTACAATTAGTGGCTCACTTAATATTTATACTTAAGAAATTACTAGTGTCTAATCACTATGTTGTACACCTGAAACTGATATGATATGGTATGTCAACTCTGAAAAAAATTTTAATTAAAAAAAAATTATTAGACCTTTATTCTCCAATTTCTTAAGTACTTTTGTTAAACCGGAGACTTTAATTTTGTTTGAAATGTAACGATCATTTTGAGCATCCCAGATCTCTGTCCCTTTTATTACCCAGAATAATGAGATGCAGTAGATTCTTGTTTTGTTTCTCATTATATTCTGTTTGAAGAACTGATGAATAATTAAATGATTTTTTTAAAAATGTTGAAAACAGGCAACATGCTGAAATCATTTAAAGACTGCATTAAACGAGAATGTTAAATTTTAAAATAATTTAAATGTTTCATGGTTATCTTCCACTTGTATCAATAAGAGAGTCACACAATACCTTTGTGTTTGAACGTCAAATCAATGTTACTCTCCGATTGAAGTCTAGGGTTCTTTCCTTTGTTTTCACAGGTCCATATGATTTTGGAGGGGTACTTACTAATAGTAACCGAGATATTATAAACGGAGATGCTATCCACAAACGAAATCAGTCCCACAAGGAAATGCACTGGTAAGTATTCTAGTGTCTCCGCCTATTATAAAAAGTATAGATCTCTCTTATAGAATACTAAGTGAAATGGGGACTTTTTCTAGTACTAGAAATATTTTCTCAGGCTACTTAACACCTATTTGGATTCCAGCAATATTAGTCTCTGACTATCTCAGGAATTTTAGAATTTTTGGCTGATTTTTTTTTTTTCTTTTAATTTCGTTGAGTATCCATTATGTGTCAGGCACTATTCAATTACTAGAGCTATGTCACTGAACAAAATTACATTTAAGCTGGATGAGACTAAATGTATACATAGGTAAATGTTAGGACATGATACATAACACATTCACTGGTTAGGCCACTATTGGCTCTAAAATTTCTGGTTTTAAAGGAAACCACAATCTGGTTTTAAAGGAAACCACACTTGTTTGAAACTGCATTTCTAATAGCAGTTTACATAACACGGTTAACTTTATATTAAAGAATGGGGAAGGGAGGGCAAAGAGGGAGACATTTCAAATTATATACATAATAGCTAACAGTCCCCCAAGCCATATGTTGGCGTTGTCATTGACTTTAGTTGTAAATGAAACTTGTATTTGAAATATGTTGAGGTTTGATGCTATTGCTTGTTGACACATCGTTTTATATATTTATAATTATGTTTACATCAATATTTATACGTACACACACACACTGCCTAGTAAGCTGTGGATAGAACATGCACATCAAACAGTGACCATCTTAAGCAATGCCTCTCCAATGCGTGTAACTGGACTTAAGCCTTTGGGGCCAGTATGTCTCCTGTGGGCCAGTGAGTCTATATGTTTAAGAAGCGCCCAGCTGATTCTGATGCAGATGTCCAGAGGAAACATAAAGAATAGTAAAAGGGGAGCCCCTATTACTGTCTGCAATATTAAGAATGTAGCTTGACATATTAAAAATCTTTAAAATGGATATAGATTTTGAAAGACTCATTGAAATACAAATCTGGTTGTGTTATTATAACTTTGTTTTCAAAACATGTTTTAAAAGAGGCTTTTAAATCCTAAACAAATACCCAAATGCTGCTGCCTTCTTTGATTTTCAGGTTGTATGTTTAGTCCATCTTTGAATATATAGACTTCTCTTTGGCTCAAATATTCTTGGATAATAACCATCTCTGAATTTTTTTTCCAGTCAAAACTTGTTAACTTGTCTATTCTGATCAATACAGACGTTTTTCGTCTTTTGCTTAATTAATCTTTGTCTCTCAGTGCTACAATAGAAAGGAGACACGAGCAGCCAAACTGAAGAATAAAGATTCTAAGATTTAGCTGATAGAGTTGTTCAGTTATTTATTGTCATCGCTCTTGTTTCCCCAGCCTCCATCCCGGAGACCTCTATCCCTTCACAAGGAAGCCCCTGTTCATCATCGTGGATTCATCCAATAGCGTTGCCTATAAGGTGAGTTCCGTGAGCACTATTGTCCTTTATGTTATGGCACCCCCCGAGGTAACCAGTCTTAACATGTGCCTTTTTATTTTGCTTTATTTTATTTAATTTTACACAGTTTGTATTTAGTCTTTCTTTTCTTTTGAGGTTGTGCATGCTAGTCAGGATCTGGTGCTATGAATAGAAACAAGAAGAAAACGCATGAATGGACACTCAGTGGAAAATAATAAATCCTCCTGCAGGAAAAAAAATTTCAAGATTTCCAAGATCTCTGGTGGAAGGTTTATTTTTGTTATATAACTCAGAATAATTTTCTCTTATAGAGGTAGAAGTGTGTCGGCAAGTTTCGTTTTCTAGTTTTTAGACTTTTTCCCCTTTCACACACTGAGGTGCTGTAATTTAAGTGAAATTTCTATTCCATGTTATATACCATTACAGTCATTGACTATCAACATACATTGTTTTAGATGCACTTATTTTTTTAAAATTCGTGACAGTAAGTAAAAAATATGGCCCTCGATGCTGAAATAAATAATAGGGATCTCACTTGAAAATCCTTTGTTTTATATTTCGCTTTTGAAGCAGTGTTTTTCAATGATTGTATAAAGAATGCCAGCAGCAAAACACCTTAAAGTAGGATATTAGAATTCAAACTATAATAATTTACAGGAAAGTAAAAAACAGAATTTTTGGAGTCCTTCGTACGTGGTTGGAATATTTCATTAGTGAACAATATGTTCAGAAATATGCTGGGATCTGCATATGAAAACTGCCAATTAAAACTTTCTGTTGTGAGTGTTTGTATAATTAGATGGAGAAGCAGGCCTTGGTAGGTTTATTTCAGGAGAGGAATGGGAATATCTGGTGGCCAAGAGGGCTGACCCCAAGCATGTTTTCCCTCAAATTTTCATGTTTAGTTTCTGAATTCCAAGAGCATCCAACGTACTCCAAATTTTTCAGCATATTTCCCACTATTTTGTCAAGTTTAACATTACGATTTTGATCTTTAGGAAAATTAGCCGTATGCCTTCTTAAATCATGTGTGTACTATTGTTGCTTTTAACCTTTTTGAGGGGGTGGGAGGTTGCCAAAGGAAAAGTTTTATTGATGATCTCATTTAAACGTAATAATACCAGAAGAGCCAAGGCATTTGTATCTTCACGGAATTCAAAAGAAGCATTCCGTGTCTTTGTAAATGGAAAGGAATCATTTGCTACAGTTTAATGATGTGATAGAATATGTTGATACACCAGATCAGGTGTATTGCTTAATAAGCTCCAGCATGCATTTAGAGTATTTTAGTAATTTCTCTCAATTTAATGGACGTTATTTGATACCACCTTTTATAATCTCAAGAATTTCTTTCATCATATGTCCTTGCTATGTCCAGAGTGTTTTTTGAATGTAGAATGAGCATTGGATGCTGCTTTTCAAAACACCACTGTGCGTACTTGGAAATGTATTTACTTGATTACGTATCATGATTTAATTCTAGATTTTAAGATTCTGAACCCCAGGATAGCAGTGGAATAATAGAAAGGGGGATTTTTTGTTTGCTTGTTTGCTTTTGATGGCACATGCGGTTATCAGTCCTCTAAAAAATTAAATTATCCAGTATATAGTGATCTTCAGAAATGATATGGGGAGCCCATATGCAGTAGGCAGGTCAGAAAATGGCACAGACCAATTTGGTCTTTTTAAAAATTAGTACAATTTAATGCCTCTACATCACGCGCAGTTCTCTGTTAACATATGAAGGCGTCTGATGTTTACTTTTCCCACAAAGCATGTGTAAAAAGTTTTAAACTACCATTTTATAAGCTTCTAATGAAAAGAGAGACCTAGATGACATATATTATTTCTTTGTTGTCTGCTTTGCTATATGTTTCATACATGTGAATGTTTTATGAACATATATGTGTTTTCTAAATACTTTTTCATAGCAACACATTCATGTATATTTCTTCATTTAAGTTGTGCGTTTTTATTTTTATGAAAGTAACTCATACATATAGTAAAGGTGTAGTTCTCAACTCTTTCTATACATCAGAAACATTCAGAACCCTTTTCAAAACCACTTGTACCAGGGGCCCCAACTCTCGTGATTCTGATTTACTCGACCTGGTGGGAGGTGGGGTCAGGAGTCAGTGTAATTGCAGTGTGTTGTCAAGTTCCACCAGGTGTTACTAAAAACAGCCGTTTCCTGCTCTCTATTTCTACCTCTATTTGCCTCTTCCCAGAGGCCACCACTTACATCTTTTTTAGCTGATTATTTTGGTATTTAACCACCATTTTTCTAAATAACATGCTGGTATTGGTATTTATTGATTTTTCAGTTTTAGGCATTATGTATTGCTATCCCATTATAAAAGAAAAATTTAGCTCTATTCTTCCTAGCCCCAACTCACATTTATTCCTTTTCATCCTTTTATCTACACTGTAGACTTATATCATAATTTAGATTCATTGACTATTTAGTGCTTATATTATTACGACTATAAAATGCTTTTAACAGCTATGCCACATAGTCGACTTTTTCTTTCCTATGCGACTTTCTACTTTTCCTGGAGCAAATAATTGTCTATTTATTATTCCTTTTTTTTTCTGAACTTATCACTAATTCAACCCAAATCTCCTCACCGATTGTCCGAAGCTTCTTTCAGATTGTTCAGATGCATTAGTCTTAATTTTATCTTCGTGATCGGTTATCGCTCACAGCCTCTAAACTGGTGCGCTTCACACACGCTGCACAGCTGTCATCCGAGAATCTCTTTTCATTGTTCTAGGGATTCTTCATGTCTCTTCCAAACTGGACCCCGTTTCCTTGAGTCCTGTGTCTTCCTCTTGGACACTCGACTCTCTCGTTTTGGTGCAGCGTCTCCTATAGTAGCTTCCTGAGAAAGGGTGGAGATGAAGTCAAACATTTGAGGTCTTGCACTTCTGCGAGTCTTTAATTTACCCTCATACTTTAATGATGGTTTTAACATAGATTAGAAATTTCTCTTCAGAATTTGTGAGGCTTTGCCACCTTGCATTCTGGCTTCCATCGTTTCTTAAGAAGTACAAAGCATTCTAACCCTAGATTATTTTTTCAGTCTCTGGGACCTTATAGGATCTCTCTTTGTCCCCAGTGTTTGTCACCTTTTTTAACAGAATGTCAGCATGTCAGTTTTAGAGGATATGAGTGACAAGCATGGCCCATGTTGTGGCTCTCACATTTCCACTAGGAAACAGGCAAGCGGAAATGGCCTTATCTGTAGTAACATAAGTATTAGTGGGAGTTTAAAAACAAAAACAAAAAAAACCCTCAGTCACTTCGAACACTTATTTTAGTTCCGCTTTCTTTTCTTTGGAAGAAAAAATTTTGAGTGCTTAAATAATGATGACAGAGCTGGATCCCTGCCAGTGAACATGACTTACACATTTGTTAGAACAGTCATATTTATCTCAACAGCCTCATCCTACTTGACTGATGGCTGCAGGCTGTGGTAGTCTCTTAAGGCATTCACCCTCATACCAAGATTACGTCAGAGCTGTCGTGCCACTCAGCCTCACTCATTTTGTTTCTTTCTTGCTACTTTGAAAGACGTTGGCATTCTGCAGTTACCCTGTGATATGTCTAGGTTTTGTTTCTTTGTAGTTAACCTACTGGGACTGGTTAGACTGCTTGCATTGGTAGGTTGCAGTGTTTCATTACTGCCGGGAAATTCTCAGCCATTGTCTCCTCAAATATTGGCTGTGTCTCAGCTTCCCTCTCATCCTCTTCTGGTTCTCTGATTTTTTATGTATATTATTTTCACTGTCTTCCACATCTCTTGACCTCTCTTTTATTATTTTTCATCCTTTTGTTTCTCTTGTTGAGAGATGGATAATTTCTTCTCATCTGTCTTTCAATTCGTAAGTTCTTTCTTCAGCTGTGACTGACTTGCCATTTTAAACCCATTTATTGAGTTTTATATTGGTTGTGGTACTTTTCATTTCTAGAAGTTCTAGTTGGTTCTTTTTCAAATAATTCATCGCTTTTTATAGTTGCCTATTTTCTGTTTTCGAGTATATTCTTTATTTCTTTAAATTTAATAATCTGATAATTCTTATACCTAAATCTGCCTTTGCTGCTTAAAGACAGACACCCTTTGCTACTTTTGTATCCTTGTACACTTGATTATCTTTGACTAGTTTCTTTTCATTATCCTTACAATTATTTATGGGAAATGCACTGAGCCCTAGAATGAAGGTCCTTTCATCCAGGGAGGGTCTGCATATGGATACCTGGAGGCACTCCCATTGGGGGACTCTGTTTGGGGATTACTTAGGTGACATGAATACGGGCTGCAAATATGCAAGAAGACTGGCTTAGAATTACAGCCCTCAGGAACTGTTTTGTTTTGTGTGTTTGTCTCTGCTCAGCCCCAAGAAAATGTTCTTTGCAGTCAGTCCCTGTGCAGTCCTCGTGGAGGGAAGGGAAGTGTGAAGTTTGGTTTTGGTTCATCCTTACACTAAGTATGTAGCCCTGGGATTCTAATTTAACAGGGCTGGCTTTCTGTTAGACTCCCATTTCAGGCAAACCCTGAGCTCTGACTTCTGTCCCCTTCTCCAGAGAAGGCCTTTAAAACCTAAATTCAGGTTGCTCAGTTGTCTCAGGGCAAATGAGATCCTGTGTCAAATGAGCTTGTTTTCCCAGTCTGGGCTCCTGCTTCTTCCTCCCCAATCTGACCTCATCTTTTCTGTGCCCCTGGGCTCCATCCTTGTTCCACTTTCTTTCTGGCTACAGCTTACTGCCTTGATGCCCTCATGTAGTTTCATGACTTTAATTACTATTTCTATGTTGATAGTTTCTGAATCTGTCTCCAGCCCAGACCTCTCTCTGTTACTCCAGACTCCAATATAATCTAGCTGCTCCATATCTCTAATCAGTCATTTAAATAGCGATCGCAAACTTAACATGCCCAAGACGGAATTCCAAGGCTTCTTCCACCTCTCTCTTTCCCCATATCAGTTAACTACCATTATGC